TATGGAGGTATATTTTTCTCTACATAGTGAGCAGCGTGGATAAGGTGATTTATTTTTTCGTGTGTCTGTTGATATCTTTTAGGTTAATTGATAGGGTGGATATTTGTACGTGTGTCCGTTGAGATCTTTTAGGTTAATTATCAATTACGTATCTCGATATCCATGTTTTCAATTGAAATAAAAAATTACCATGTTTTCAATTCAATACATAAGAAATTACCGTAATCAATTAAAATGTCAATATATTTTGAATATATTAGTAGTAGTTGACATATAAATGTAATTTTCAAATTTGATAAATTTGAATTTAAAGAGTGTATATTTGGGCAAGATTTGTTATTGTTTAAAAAACAATTATAAAAACATGATGTTGTGCATATTTATTTTAGAAACATATATTAACATGTCATATTTATAAGAGAATTAATTTTCATATATTAACAATACTAGTACAGAGCCCGTGCGATGCACGAGGTGCACAATTTTAAAGCCATTTATCCAGCCTTATAATTATATAAATGAACAAAGAAAAATATACGAAATTTATATAGTACGTGACATGTGCGAGGCACATGATATATTTATTTGGAGATTATTATACTATAAGATGCAATATTCAATAAAAGTTTTACAATTCACGAAAATAAATATATATAATGTAAATATCTAAATACATACACGATATGTGGAATAAATAAACCAAATTGCAAATCTGAAAATATAATTTAAAAAAAATGGAAAATATATTTCACTAAACATGTACAAAATATCTAAATACATACACGAAAAAAATTATATACGTTTCAAATTTTGAAATTAAAAAAAAAATCAAAATTTGGCTTGCAGTTTTATCATGTATAACCAACTCGAGATATGATTTGTATGTGATGCCCCAGTCTTGGAAAAACATTCTCACAATTCGAACTTTCAGCATATGTCTATTAGACCTATTGACTTGTTTGATTAACCCAAATCCTTGATTCATTGTTTTGAATAAAATACTGATTGGGGATATATTTTTTGTTCGCACGAGGTTGATAGTGAGGAACATGATGACTCGATATTTTGAGATTTGTAATTTATAATGGGTAGAGTAGATATATATTGTTGTTAATATTTTTATTAGAAAATCTGAATTTGAATCTACAAAAATCGGTTTGAACAAAATCAGAACTGATTTCTATACAATTAGATAATAAATAAAGTCTTTTTTATTTTAGTAAAGATTTTACGTATTTTTTTTACTTATCAAATGTTATGGGTTGTTTTTTTTTTTTTTTGTTAAACCGATTTTATGGGTTATAATACAAATACAATTAGAGAATTGAACGAATATCCATACAATTAGATAATAAGAAGGCGTTAAATAAGGAAAAGAAGGAATTAAATGAGGAAATTTAAATCTGCCTTTTTTTAGTATAGATAGACTATACGTACAAATTTTGACTTCACCGATTTTATGAGATTTGTTTTGATAAAATCGATGTTAATATGGAATAAGACAAATAAATAAAGCCTTTTTTATTTTGGTAAAGATTTTACGTCTTTTTTTTACTTAACATATTCAATGAGATATTTTTTCTTAAACTGATCTTATGGGATATAAGACAAATAAATAAAATAATTAAGTAAAATTCTGGATAGAAATAATAATGTATTAATTACGTTGACTTTTTAACCTACTAAATTTGGTAAATATAATAGTACTTTATTATATAAGTATAGAGTTTGATTGTTTTTGCTCACCCGATTTTATGTGATTTTTTATGTCAAGATAAGAAAGATTAAAATTTAGAAGTTCAGCATAAATTTATGAAAAGGATTTTTTTATGGGATTTACGTACAAAATTTTTTATGTTAAGATTTATAAGAAGGATTTTTTTTTATGTCAGCATGAATTATAAATGCATTAATTACTACTTGATAAAATTAGAAGTTCATTAATTAAGTTTGACTTTTCTACCTACTATATTTAGTAAATAGGATCCCCTTTAATATAAGTATAGATAATTATAAATTATTCCTTGCATAATATTATGAGACGCGTTATTTATCTTAGTTGTAAATCTGTTTGAGATAAAATAAAAATACACACTCAACTTGAAAAAAAAAAGATAAGAACATATTTGTGATCAAATATTTCCAAAACTGTTTTGAATGAGCTAAAATTGAATGAGATAAAATTGAAAACAAAATACACATAATTAATGCACTTGATAAGATTATAAAGTCATTCATTATTGTTGACTATTCTACATACTGAAATTAGTAAATAGGTTTGCTTATAATATAAGTATAGATTTATTAAATAATATCTATAAATTAAAAATACATAATCAGTAAAATATGTCTATTTCAAATAAAATGTGAATAAGTGATTGTTGCATTTACGTCTAAGGTAATATTGACCCGTAAATTAGGAATAATTACTTATTTGACTATTTGTAACCCAAGTTTGTACTACACAATAAATTATTATATATATAAACACACACACACACACATGTTATCTCGCAATATATACACACACACACACACATGTTGCATTATGAGATGAATATGTTGCATAATTCGTTGAACATGTAAAAAATTAAGATGAACAAGTTACACGATAAGATGAATATGTTGTATAATGAGATGAATATGTTGTATGATATGATGAAATTTTCTATAATGTATTGAAAATGTAAAAAAGTTTGATGAACATGTATAATAAGATCAATATGTTATATAATAAGATGAAAGTAATGGATTGATGGAAGGTTGTTCGTGTTAATTTGTTTTGTTTGCATTGATGCAATGTTATCCAGAATTAGAAGTCAACATTTTGAAATAACATAGGTTAGTACATAATAGTGTTGTCAATCTGTCACGACGGGCTAAAAAAAAAAAACTGATAACTGAAAGAAGAGTAAACTTATGAAACAAGGGCATAGTTGCAGTTTGACAAGGTTAAAGAAGAGTGGCAAAACATGATTTTTTGGGTGTACATAGGACAAATCAACTGTTACAATTTCGTATGAATGTCTTCAATGCCCTTGTCCTGACTGACATTTGGAATGGAAAATTCACTGTCGTTTTCAACTTTAGATTGTGATGGTTTGCTACTCATTTTTTTTAGATGACAAGTGGTTGACTTATGGCCGAGGTCCCTGCAAGTAAAATATTACTTAAAATTCAGTTCTAAAAAATATATTTAAGCTACTAAAATATTTGAGTGTATATTTAACAATGTACTTACCCGCATGATTTGCATCTTTGTTTTTTTGCTGACGGTGCCCCTCTAGATCTAACCCTACGTGGATCACCTTTATTATTTGAACCTCTCGCCGGATCCTTAATATTACTTGATGCATTTGCGAAATCATTAGGTGAGGGTCCTGAAGTGGCTTCTTCATTTCTGTCAAGGTTATCAATTGCACGTCTGACTTTCTTCACACACTTTTCTGTATCGATCTCGTTCTCAGATGCCTTGGAACACATATGGATTGACTCTTTATACAGTTCGTGAAATCTTTTGTTTTGTGGATCAACGGAAGCAGGCACATAGTGAAAACTTTGTCTAAGATGTTTTCCCGCTAAGGTCGTCCACCTATCAAGTATGCATTTGGTTGGCACTTTTCGAAGATGCAAGTACTTGAATGCAGTAAATAGATGACTACATAGAATGTCATCTGTTTCCAGCATCTTGCAAGCACACTTGAATATGCCTTCATTTATATTCACCTTGACCGACCATTCTCTTTTGGTTGTTGGATCATAATTTTCCATTTGGAAGACATATGACTCCCCATCATCAGTCCTCTTCTCAATCACAATATTATTTTGCTCACAATCAACCTCCCTTCGAACTTTCCCAAAAACCGAGCGTGTATAAAGTCCAGACAGCTGAACAAGAATCCCGTGAAGTGGTGTGACTTGCGGAATATCTTGTGGGTTCATCTCCGATTCTTCCTGCTTCTTGAAAAAAGTCGCCCTCAACGACCCCACAATATTATGGTAGTTCTTAAGGAGCTCCGTAATAGTGCTGCCTGATTTCCCCCCCTGCTTGAAGAGTGCATTCACGGATTCCGCTCTTTGGGTTGTTCTAGTCATCCTCATGAAATTCCCTCTAAGATATGCGTCACACCATTGATGTTTCCTTTTATATGTATCTTTTACCCACATATTGTCTGCCACACCATGTATGTTTGTTTGTAATTCCCATTCAGATTCAAACTCACTGGGAGTCCAATTATTCATTATAAACTTCCCAAATATTTTGCAGAAACCGTGGGCCTTCACTCTCTGTGCACAATTTCTCTCAAGATGCCACGCACACAGCCTATGTTTAGCATCGGGGAACACCTTAATTATTGCAGAAGGCATAGAATCGTCTTGATCCGTGACAACGGTGACAGACATCTTTGATTTCATTGCCGCTAAAAATCTTGTTAGCAACCACAGGTAGGATTCCGATGTCTCATTATGCAGCAAGGCCCCACCAAAAATTGTTGTATTTAGGTGGTTATCTATTCCAAAAAAAATGACCAACGGGAATTTGTATGTGTTTGTTTTGTAAGTGCTGTAAAAAATGAGAACGTCACCAAATTGCTCATATGCAGACTGTGAAAACCCATCTGACCAAAAAATTTTGGTCAATCCACCTTCGTCGTCACAAGTTGTCTCCACCACCATCAGCGGGTCGTTGATCATCACACCTTGAAGCATAGCAAAAGCAGTCTTAAAATCACCATCACGAATCGTATCATTTCTTATCTTCTTCAGGAAGTTGTATGCTTCTTTTTTTTTTTTTGTGATGTAAACTTCCAGGACCACCTGACATTTCTTGAATATAATTGAACTCCTGACATGTACGAATGCCGGAACCATTCATTAAGGTCAACAACGATTTTTCAGAGTCCGTAATTTGTCTACAATAGAATATATAAACAATATCTTAGACAAACGTTGAAAGCAAAAACTATATGTAAAATATATTTTCTATAAATATTAATTACCTGTTACACTTCAGACGATGTGCTGTTTCGGAACTCTCCAGTGGATGATTGTGTGATTGGTCAAAATTTGTTACCCTGTACAATCCGTCACGGATGTCACGTGCAACACGAAATTTAGCAGGGCAACCACATCTATTGTTTGGTTTTCCCCGTTTAATTCTTTGGTGCCCTTCTGAAATTATCCGTCTGTAACCTGCGTTTGAACACTCCCATTGCCTGTTCTTCACTATGCCATCCTTTGAAGTCTTGCAACAGCACCGTCGTACATCGAACCCGACATTTCTTGCATAATCAATGTACCATTTTTCTGCAAGTTCCCAAGTTAGGAATTTTTTATTCAGTATTCGATCGTTGCAAACGTTTTGGCGCTGATCGGTTGTTTGTTGATCGCTCTCCTTATCAAGATTGATACCAGTATCTTCGTGTTTTTCCATTTATTTGTGTATTCGTAGTACTGTGCCCAATGAGAATCTAGATCGTATCTCCAAGGGGAATTGTATGTTCGTATGCCACCGTTCGCATTTCAGATGATAAATATTATATTAATATATATTTATTTTATTAATAAAATTTATCGGTTTCCAAAATCAGTCTCTTGAAATTCGGACGTGGTGTAGTGGATAGTAGTTAGAGATTGATAATTGATTATTTTAAAGTAATTCAATTAATTGGAAACCTTTCGTGATTGTCGCAACAATTGTTCACCATATCTAATGATTTAATTGAATTTAAGTTAAGAATTCAAATAATCTCGTGAATGCTCTGTTATAATTTGATATAAATTTTCCATGACCAATTTTGCTTGGTACTGTGCAATCATTCTTTACATGTTTTATTTTTTATTATTAATTTGGTTTTACCCAATTTGATCAAAACTAATTCAAAAGTAAGCAATTAGACGTGTTCAATTACGTTTTGTGCCACAAAATACTTCGAACTATTTGCCAACATACCCAATTAGACGTGTTCAATTACCTTCAATTACATTTTGTGCCACAAAAAAACGTAATAACCACACGAAGCATTCAATAATATAAAAATGTATCATATTTTCCTCACAATTCACGGTAATTTTTAGGTGCAAATGACTGTTCAACGTCAACATGATGGGTCATAATAGTACGTTTAGGCAGGCAAGGCTGTTATGTTACGACGTACCCAGTCAAGTTCGATATGAATTGTCATCAGACCAATGGACACGTAACTAGATACATATTTTCGTAATTGCTTTGTCGTCTTAATCGGAATGTCATAAGATAAAGATAATTCATCAGGTTGACAACCATAGTAAAGAGGCTCAGACTCTTCGAGCGATGGTTCACACTCATTGACCATTATTTGTGCGAGGGTTTCCATAGTTACTGTCTTCGAGTCATAAGAGTCTCCGTAGATGTTAATGCCTGAATACCGTGAATAAATGAAGAATCCAACCATAGCCCTACGAAAATACATGCAGACATACAACATGTTGGAACATTAAAATATTGATTGATAACAATTTAAAGAAATAGTGAACGGTTCAGAAAACGTGTTACGTACCCTCTTCCAATTTGGTTGTATTTGGCTGTGTAAAGAGTGGCAGCCACCCTCTTCCTTGCTTCAATAGATTCATCCTTTAAGAAAAAAAACTAAAATAATCATTGTAATGTGCAAATTAAACAACACTTGCTAATGACAGTGCCATTACCTCGTTGAGTCCACGCCAAATTAAATCTGTAGATGGAGTGGAATGACATAACATATGAATACACACATAGAGGCCACAATCGTATTTGCCGAATAAATGTTACAAGTTAAAAAAATTAAAAAAATATTCATAGGAAACGATTCGAAAATAATATGTTTTGTCAGTTGCTTTAAATGACTAATGTCCGTACCCATTCCGTAGTTGGGGAACATTTGTGTCGATGACATATTTGTACGTGTCGGTAATATTTTTATGAATGAACCCATCCCCATCCCACGCAGCCATAATACCTCCAGTCGCATTATCTAGTCACGAATAATTTAACATTAGCAATAGTATTACTGAACATATTGTCTTGTTACAAATGAAGGATAACCAACAAAACAATTATTACCACTTTCTTCGCATGTTCAATCCTCGACTTGCATATACTAAGATGAACATGTTACATAATAAGATGAATATGTTCTATAATAAGATGAATACGTTACATACATAAAAAGATTAACATTTTACATATACTAAGATGAACATGTTGCATTATGAGATGAATATGTTGCATAATTCTTACCACTTTCTTCGCATGTTCAATCCTCGACTTATTTGTAACTTCCGAACGTACAGTATCGCATATTCGAACAACAGATCTTTTAATATCAACCATACAAATGTACCAGTGCAAACAGGAATCCGATATCGGCAACGTTATACTAACACATTAGTCCGCATGACCGTTGAATACTCTATCTCGAAAGAACCTTTTATGAATCGACTAGTCGCTGTGCAACGACACAGCCATGCCCTGCAATGATGATAGACTACATTGGAGAATTATTAAAATGATAATGTGTCTCACACTGAAAGATGCCGGCAAAACCCAGTTGCGTTTATTACTATCTTTTGGGGTCCGATTCAATGACACATGCAGGGCAACCAAATCAATGACCTACACAGAGAATGAACTACATATGAATCTATTTGAACTGGTTCACCAATAAGAAAACAAATTTATGAATATTTTCGAACCGGGCTTCTCAACCAGTGTGGATAATCAATTGCTAACATCTCTGCTCTAGTGATCGTCCAGCCCTCATACTCGACCAACATTTGGCTGAAAAAAAAACATTTGTCAAACATGATTGTAAATGCAGTGCTGCTGTTCAGATCTGAAAGGGAAAATGTTATAATATATATATATATATACATATATATAATATGTAAAATCCAAATCCATAATATGCAGGGGTGCTGTTTGCTTACGAAACATCTATCTTATTATTGAAAATGTAATTGTCTGCATGAATGTCCCTAATCGTTATTTCTTGAAAATACTGAAAGATATCTTTTCCAGTGTTGCATTTATACGGCGAGCAAGCGTCGACATCAAATTCCATGGGTTTAATTTTCTCTTCAAACGGTTCTTCTGAGGCACCTTTTAGGAAATATGTTATGCCAGATACCGCCTGATTAAGAATGGTTAATTGCTCAATGATCTTGTTTGTTACATGTGAAAATGTGTGTGAGTCACGCTGATTAGGATCCTTTGAAACGCTTTCATCCATCTTCATTCCGTACAACTTCTTAGTAACTTTCCAATTCTGAAATACATTTAAAAAAAATACGTACATTATTAATATGATAATGGCGAGTTAATAAAATTTCATGCAAACAAATTAAATTCACATGTGTACTTACAAAATTCTTATCATAACCTCCCATTTGCTTAAACACCTCAATTGCTCTAGAAATATCTTGCTGGCTCCATTGTTCTAAAAAAGGGGATCCAGTATGCAATTGTTTTCGGACAATTTGGAATGATCTCGTCACATAACCAAGGAAAACCACCTACAATTGTTTAAAATAAAGTTTACAATATATGTTATGCAACCATTTATTAATTAACATATGATGCATATAACGTTAGTGTACATGTAGTAATAGAATACATCCCGTGATGTACGATTTATTATTGCATTGCACTGACGTAGTTCCCTCATCCAACTTGCGCAGAATTATTTTACACCAGTTGTATTCTTGGACAACATTTAAATCAACCAAGTAGTTTAGAAAATCATAGTCCAGATGTGAATGACTATCAAGTGGGAACAACACCGTAGCGAAAAGCAACATCAAATAGGGAACTATGAATTCAAACATGTTCGTCTTGCAATTTGTCACCATATTATGAAGCTCTGCAAATCCAAAGAATTGTCCTTCTTTCCCACAAAATAAATTACCGTACTTGATTATACCATCGACAGTTTTAGAATTTACCATTCCTTCACTTGAAAGACTGAAATGTTTCTCCACAACACCGGGTGACAGAATAAGTCTCTTACCTCCGAACATAATAGTTCTTGATATGGGATCATAATATTTAACCAAGAAAGCCACCAACTTTGAATCCATTTGTGAAACGTTCATACGCGATAATGTACCAAATCTAACCTTGTCTAAATCACGGCGCTGGCCAGGAGTTAAGTTTTTATTGATCTTGAGCAGTGTCGCTAGTTTTGTTCTGTGAAAGAAAAATAAGTGATCCCTTGAATAACCTGGTGCTTTGATAACTTTCTTTTCTTCTTCTTCTTGAACGACTAACAAGCGTAGCCTTCAATTCGAAATTGAATTTAAGTGAATATTAAAACATCTACACGACATATGAATATAATTACGAAAGCAAATAATATGAATTAGCCAACAACAAAAATTACCTCTTGAAAATCAGTCATTTGTTCGAAAAGTCCCACCTGCTACGTTTGGTAATGGCTCCACCTATGTATACGAGTATGGCGTTCACTTTGTTTAAGATGAAGATGGAGGTTATTTTCTGAATATGGAGGTATATTTTTCTCTACATAGTGAGCAGCGTGGATAGGGTGATTTTTTTCTCCGTGTGTCCGTCGTTGAGATCTTTTAGGTTAACTGATTGGGTGGTTATTTTTCGTGTGTCCGTTGAGATCTTTTAGGTTAATTATCAATTACGTATCCCGATATCCATGCCTTCAATTCAATACATAAGAAATTACCTTAATCAATCAATGAAATGTCAATATATTTTGAATATATTAGTAGCAGTTGACATATAAATGTAATTCTCAAATTTGGTAAATTTGCATTTGAAGAGTGTATATTTGGGCAAGATTTGTTATTGTTGAAAAAAATTAGAAAAAAATAAATATGTTGAGCATATTTATTTAATGACCAAAAAAAAAATGTTTTGTTTGTTTTGTTTCAAAAATTATTATATTAGCATACATATATTATATATTTAGTATAACACGTTTTATTTGTGCAACTTACATGTGTTATATTATAATAATTCTTTTAACTTACAACATATAACTACATTAAACATAAATATATCAATTGAGAAATAATATTATTTATTTAATGTATTATAATAAATATTATTATTTTTAATTATAAAGAAAAATATAATTTATTTATTTCATATATATAATATGGATGTCAAATCGAAGATCAAAAAAAGATGATCAATTTGATATATTATATATGTAAAACCTATAAGATATACAAAATTTATCAGGTTTGAAAAATATATTTACAATTCAATATCTAATTGTATGAAGCAAATCAAAAGTCATGGATATATTAGTCACACATAGTACCTCATTATATAAAATTACAAAGAATTTATTAAAATACCTAAGTTAGCAAATCATTAGTAGGTGAATAGATTGTTAATTATTAATATATCAATATTATTTGTC